CTTTGAAATAAAGATAAATATGAAGATGAAGAAACAAGTGATAACGATGAAGACAAAAAAAGAAGGCAAAAGTGAAGATAAAGACGAAAATGGAGACAATGAGAAATACATAAGAAGGGTAACTGACTTGAAATTTTCCATAAAAGTTACCGAAATTTATCGAATCATCGAAGTTTAGAATTATCGAAATTTACCCATGCACCCAAAATAAAAACTTCTCTTAATTGAAGAAAAACAGCAATCAAAATTAAGAAAAATGGGAACGAAACAGCACTAAAGAAGTTTTATCCTCTTTTCATGCCCAACATTTCTTCAAAATGATATTACCTCCACGGTTCCACATTTTCGTGTACGTTTTTACACATTCCAAAGAAAAATTACGAATTCGGAAGAATTTACGACCTAAAAGTAAGGAAAGTTTTTCTTTGATCCAGAGATGGATTTTTGGTTCAGTGTGCTTATTATCACAACGTATCAAATTGATCAATGTTTATTGAGTTGTCGAAATTTATAGTCACAGAAACTTAGTTGTCGAAATTTACGGAGAGTTATCGAGCTATAAAAACATGTGGGATTATCGAAATTTGTCAAGTTAAAGAAATGTATCAAGTTATCGATATTTATTGAATTATCATTATTTATAGACTTAACGAAATTTATCGAGTTGTAGTAATGCATGGAGTTCTTTCAACTTACAGAGTTATCGATAATTATTGATCTACTGAAATTGGTTGATTCATCGAATCGAAGTTTATGGAATTTTCAAAATATATCCATTAATCGAAATTTCAAGATTATATAAGCTTATCGATTTATCACTGATTATCGAATTTTATCGTGCTAACAGAGTGTAATGAGTTATCAAAATTTTTCGATAGCTTTCGAAAAATGTGGAGCTGTCAAAAATAAAAATTTTTAAAGGTATCCAAAGAATTTAGATTTTTGAGTTATCGAAATTTATCGAGCCCTCGAATTTCATAGTTATTGAAATTGGTCGAGTTAACGAATTTTGTTGAGTTATCGGATTTTAGTGTTTTTGAAATTCATCGAACTATCGATATGTATCAAATTATTAATATTTATCGATCAAGTGGAATGTTTTGGGCCAATTCTAAGTCTTGCTGAAGTCCAAAGACCTTCTAAGATAAAAAAATTTAGTTTCGTTTTAGTTCCAAAGCAGCAGATGTTCCGGTAAGTTAATTTGTACCGTAAAGTTTTGCTACGTGTTAAGTTAGAAACTCTCCAAGGCTCATAAAAACTTGAAAAACTGTCGAATTTCGACAGTAACTGGCACTGTAGTTTGCATTATACCACGGCAATGTGTCCTTGGCATAGTGGCAGCTTGCCATGTCCGCCTAGAACAGTGGCCTACTACCTTATCTGTTGATAAATGAAAGAAGACGCCTTTTGAGCCACTCATCCCGATAAACTTGATCATTCATTGTCCCAGATGGGAAAAAGGGCTGCTCTTACGGCCACAGGAAGAAATAGCTTGCCAAACCATGTTGTTTTTTGGAAATTTGGACTTCATTTTCAGCTTACAGCTTTCAGGGGCATCTTGACGACTTGCAGCAGTATACAAATCTTGACCTGCAATATATTTTGAATTTTTAAAGCATTCGGTTTCGTAATCCATAACAATGCAGTTGTATTTTTTTAATTTAGAATTCATACAACTTCCGACTGCGGGATTTCGCTGTAACATACTACTTTGCGCCTCGGTCTGGCGCTTTTTGAGCTGTAGAACATCTCAATGAAGCTTTCCGCTTTACCTTTTGTACGAAAAACTGCGATCTCCGTACGGATTTTGCAACATAACGCGACAAAATCTTCGGATCTCGCGAAAACGCACTGAGGACCTTCCGAGCACTGTTTTCATCACTTTGACCACGCTAACCCCCGCTCCCTGGTTTTCTCGTAACTAACCGATTAAAACCCTGCAAACTGTCGAATAGTGCAATCTTTAATTTTTAGCAATTTTACGTGTACTCGTGCAAAATGGTTTGTCTCGTTTCTAACTCGGTTGCCATTTTTAACTCAACTAGGAATCAAATTCAAATGAAATTTCTTCTATGTCCAACTAAGGTCATGGTCAGCTTATGGTATTTGAATTTCAAAATATTGAAATCTTTTTGGGTAAGTTAAACCTTCCCAAAGTGCCGCAGTTTTGGTGTGTTCACCCTTTAGGTGAATTTTTATATCAGAATCTCATTTTTGAGAAAAGTGCAGAAGAGCGTATGGAACATAAGCCCTCGATACATATTATATAATATAAATTATACAGATATGCATAAAAAATGAAAGGTCTTCTAATTACCTTTCGAACAATATCCACTTTCTGAAAATCGATTCAATAACGCAGGGTTATAAAAAAAAGGTTTCTGCATATTAAACCGAACCTCTATATCCCTATGTTATTCGACGCGCTGAATGCGAGTCCGAGGTATGTTAGTCTCCACCACGTCAGGTTCGAGGTCATTTGAAGGTTAAATAGAAAAAAAAGGTATTCCATTAAAATACAAATTCATATACATACATGGTTTTTTTATCTCTGAATCCGAATATGGGGGTCCCTTTATCTAGGTTATCTAGAGGTCATGCCAAGGTCATCTCATGATCAAATTCAGAAGAATTGTATTGAACTTTCAGGTTTATTTAATGAATGTTTCCCTACTTAACCTTCAAATGAACTCGAACGTGACGTGATGGAGGACAACAGACCTCGGATTCGCATTCAAGGGGCCGGAGTAACGGATATAGAGGTTTGGTTTAATATGCAGAAACTTTTGTCTTTTTTGAAAACCTGTGTAATTTTCGAAAATATTGAGAATTTCACTTTTGACAAAATTTGTTTTTGCATTTTAAATACTTGGACTTGAAATACTTAACATATCTGCTACTTAAGTTCCCTCTCTTCCTGTAATGACCCAAACCTTCACTTGGGTTGCTCATATTAAAGATGGGCGCGGGATATCGGTACCCGCGGGACCATGGTACCGACTTCAAAATGGCCGGGATAAGCGGTATAGGGGAGGTCTGTGAAAATTTTGCGGACGGGACCAAAATCCTTTCCCGACACTGTCGATAAAATCGCAACTACCGAAAATTCAGAAAATCTTCCTTAAAAACGTTGTATGAAATATTCACCTTTTTTATGCTTTTTTTTGTGACGAAAACGGACAGCAAAGTAAAACAAAATAATCGGAAGATGCCAGATCTTTCATAATTTTTTTTTTATTATTTAAAATTAATTTGAAAGACATGTGATTTTTTCTTAGTGATAGGTTTCGGGACCCACGGGACCCGAGTTACAATTCTGAAAAACGTCGGGACGGGCGGGTTCGGGCCTTAAAAATTTTATTTTGGGATGGGCGGGATCGGGATTGGATATTTAGTCCCGTGCCCATCTCTATTTGGAGCTTACAATATAAAATTCAAGCTTGAATTGGTTTTCGCAAATAATGGCGAGCAGATTATAAGAAATGGGTGAAGTAATATAACGTAGCATGCCTGGGATCTTACACAGAGGTGCACCTAACAGAAACAATTAGAATCTAAAGCAGTGTTTGCGTTGTTCAACTTTTACAGGCGATTAGTTGAATCAAAAGTTGAATGAGAGTTGGCTGCCGACCAACTTCATTGAAAGCGATTTGTTGAAAGGCCGTTTGCACTATTCAACACTCGCATTCAACAAAAAGTTGAACGAACAAGTTGAACCATGAAAACGCCGCTTAAGGAAAATAATATTTGCACAGTAAATCATCTTTTTTTCTTTCATTTCATTGCCACAGTTTAAGCAGTGGAAAGGTCCGAAATCAATACGTCTGTTCAATATCGAAAAATTGTTTCGAATTGTTACCACTACTTGCAAGTTTTTACTGGAATTGCGGTCAATAACCAAAAAAAATTGCAAGAGAGAGCGAATCCGAGATGTTACGTTACCCGAAAGAGCTGCAAATTCTTGCAAGTAACAAATTTAGTAGGAAGAAATTGAAGCTGATAAAAAATCAGCTCACCCTTCAAATTCAAAGTTAAACAAAGTGTTTAAGAAAAGGATTTGATGAATACATGCTAAAGACAAAATTAATAATAATAATAATAATAATAATAATAGATTGGCGCTTACACATATGTTAGTGTTTGGCCGAGCTTCTCCTCCGCTTTGTGGCGTGCGCCTTGATGTTGTCACACAAAGCGGAGGGACCTACAGTTTTACGCCGACTCCGAACGGCGATGGTATTTTTATGAGAAGCTGTTTTTCATGGCAGAAATACACTCGGAGGTTTGCCATTGCCTGCCGAGGGACGACCGCTGTTAAGAAAATACCTTTTTTCTATATTTTTTGCGATGTTGCTTTGACCAGGGTTTGAACGCAGGTGCTGCGGAGTGGAAGCGCGCACTGCTTACCACTACACCACAGCGGCAAGACAAAATTACGGATGAATAATTTAAATCCAACGATTTTTATTAGGATGGGAAATATTCCCAACCAAAAGGAAAATTTTGCGCTAGAACTTAACCATAACAAAGTGTCGAAATGGTATAAATTCCAAGTTTTTATTAGTTTTGCATTCAATAACATTTTCTGATACTTTTCTCTTCCTCTCAAGTAATTACTGGAAAAGTTATTGAATGGACCTAATTAGAAATATTCGAAATAATTATTTAATTTTCAGTTGCCAACGAACAAGAATATGGTAAATGTTATAGAATTGTTAAGTAGTTGCAAGTAAACTTTTGTTTAGAAAATAAGCTAGTTTCGATTTTTTTTAACGACCGCAAAATTTACATTATGAATAAGAAAACAGATGTTGGGCAGCCAAGAAAGCGGATTAGAGCGAAAACGCTGTCAATGTCCAACATCTGGTATGTATAATTCCACCATGGTACTTAATTAAAAGTAAAAATTATATAGTTATACAATGTTTAAATTTACATTTAAAATATATAACAACAAGTAAACAATTAAATTGTTTTTCGCTTTATGATCTCTTTTACAGTATCTCATTCTCCCAAATATAATTGTGATCGATTGGATAAACCGAAAAATGGCACGTGGGAAGAATGGCAGCTGCTTTTAGCGCTAACTAATGCTAATGTGGTACAAAAGTGTGGTCAACGTCGTGTAAATCTACTAAAGTATATGTTACAAGTAATAAAAAGGTATTAAACTACTATTCTAACAACGAAATCTTACAAAATAAGGGAGCCACTCAATCAATACATAGTGACCTAAGCAGCTTGAGCTGGGTAATTTCATGATTAAGTTTCTACTCAGAAGACTTACTTAGCTTATGCGCAGCATTGAAAAGCGACTAAAATGCACAATGTAAGGAGTTGATTTCTCCAACAAGTAAATTTTATCAAGCCTAATGTGAACAAACTAGATTACCAGTTTTCCTAATTACGAACAAATATTTATTACTAAGCATAGTCCGATTAACGCTTGAATTTTCACATGTATACTACTTAATGGTTAAGGAAGGAAAGTATTTTGATCTTGTTCCACTCGTCCATCCACGGCTCAGCAGAAGAATCGCAACGAAAATGTTTAAGATTCGTGAACGCAACTGTTTACTGGCGGTTATCTTATTGGTGATAACTCCCTGTCTTATCATCCTTTTCATTATGGGTCCAGAATTATCCACCGAACAGTCACTGTCACAACAATTGGCAGAGTGTCGCTTTCGTCTGCAGTACCTGGAGTCGATGTATCGGTCCAGGCAAGAGGATGTGGCAATACTTTCACAGTATTTGCATCTCAGTAATGCAACAACAATATCCATGGCAACGGTTGCACCTTTACCTCCTGGCAATGAAGCCAACGCGAGCACATCCGCAATGCCAGCAGTAGGCTTGCCTACACTTCTGAAGTCGCTGAGCCCCGAAGCGCGGCAATTGATAAAAAATGCTACACATTCACATACAACTCAACGATTTAGTTCATCGACTGCCATTCGTCTCCCGACGGCCTATAACTTTCTGCCACATCTACTCGATGATTCTACATCACTGCATCCGGCTTACATTCGTTCAAAGAGTCGTACAGATGTGAGCATTGTGTTAGGCATACCGACGGTGAAACGTGAGAAGCAGTCGTATTTGGTCAGCACGTTGCAGAATCTTATTGAAAACATGAATGAAGAAGAGCAAAATGAAACGTTAATAATAGTTTACATTGGCGAGTCAGAAGAAGAATTGGTGCATGCAATCGCCAAACAAGTCGAATTGAATTTCGAACCATATGTCGACTGTGGTCTAATTGATATTATATCACCATCGGCATCTTACTACCCGAATTTCGAAACGTTGCGTATAACCTTGCAGGACTCGTTGGAACGTGTCAAATGGCGAAGTAAGCAAAATTTGGACTTTGCATATTTGATGTCTTACGCGCAGTCGAAAGGTAAGAGCTCAGAAAAAGGTTTGCATACAATTACATCCTTATTACATATCTTGAACGATAGCCCGCACGAACGATTCGTCTGCAGACGATGCCGCCTCTGATTGCAATTTTATTAATCTATTGTTCGTATTCGTCTTGCTTTACATCGATTACGTTGCAATCGTCTCGGTTACATTTAAATCAGCTAAAATAATGTCGCTGAACTAATTTTTGAAGTATTCTTCTGCAGACGAATCGTTCGTGCTGCCTATCGTTCGAGATTCATATTAAGGCTTTTAGTAGCGATTGTGTAATGCACTTGTGTATCAATTCTTCTAAGAGTTTGCTTTGTAATTTGAAGAAAATCAAGCTTGCAAATATTTCTTGAAATTTTAAGTAAAATGTATGTATACTAGACTGCATCACTCCCCATCCAAAAAAAAATCGGTACTGTTTTTCCATTGGAATTATAAAATCCTTTATATTTTAAGACGTCCACCAAAATATTTTCGCAAAATATTAAGATTGAAGCGAGCTGGACCAATTTGAAAATACCTCCAAAAATGGAGTTTTTTTTATAAATAAGAATAGTTTCTTAAAGATGTTTTTTTGAAAAAATCCCCTCAAATGTTAAGACGGTTTAAGCTTAAAAAATTTACATAAAAATTTTTAAAAGATTGATATAAGAAAAACTTGAATAACGGAACCTAAACTCTTCCGATTTAGACTTGTGAGGTATCATTGGAAAGGTATTTTCTCACCCTTTTTTCTTTGCTAAAAAGCTCATTTAAAGGATGAAAGAGAAAGGTAGGATGAACGATCATCATTCAAAGTTGAATTAAGATGTGTTGGTATTTGAAAAAAAAAGAAAAATTGGGAGACGAATGACTTTTTTTGCACATAAATAAAAATAATGGGAAAATACCTTTCTACCGAGATCCCATAAGTCTAAATCAGTATAGTTTTGGCCCGGTTATTTAAGTTTTCCTTAAATCAATCTTAAAAAAAAGTAAAAAACAACATCAAAAATCTCATTATTACGATTTCGTTGAAAAGATTTTTAAATATTTTTATGCAGATTTTTTAAGCCAAATCTGTTTTGTCATCTGAGGGGACTTTTTCAACAAGTTCTTTAAGAAACAATTTTTATTCATAAACTCCATTATTGGAGGTATTTTCAAATCGGTCCAGCTCGCTTAAATCTTAATGTTTTTCCGAAATATTTTGGTGGACGTCTTAAAATATAATAAATTTTGTAATCCCTGCGGAAAAGCCGCAACTTTTTTTGATGATGCAGTCTAATGTATACATATCTATTCGTATTAGAGGGCTGCATGAATTCATTCAAAACGGCTTATGAATTATTCATATATAAAACGAATTAATGATTTTGACCTAACATTTTTTGGAATTTGAGTGAATACTTTTTCTGATATATGTGTCGACATTAGAATATTCAAACAAAGTGAAAATAAATTGAATTGAAATAAATGACAATTTTTGTATGAATATCCAAAAATATTTTTTCTGTGCACATATGTACAAACATACATATCGTCATTTCAAGTGCAAAACCGCGTATGTTAAGTTTTAGAAACTATGCTCTATTCTAGAGTGTAAAAACACTCATATTTCAAAATGCTTCTCCTTTTTATAAAGCAATCGCATTTCTGGACGAATGGATAAGGATTGAGCCAAGTGCTTGTGTGAGCAAATCCAATTTTTGGCAACCAATGTCAGTTACGCGGTTTTGCAGAATGACGATACGCGGTTTTTTACTTTAAGCGACGATATGTATGTATGTATGTATTGCTGCGCTCCTATTACAATGCGGAAAACTTGTTTGTAGAAAAAACTTTTACCGAAATGAGTTTGAATGATTTGAATGTTTTCCATTCATTCATTTACATTCTTCCATTTGAAGGTAGAAATTTTGAAACAAAATGTATATTCATAACTTACAAAATTCCAAACGCTGAGTGTTTGGTATATGAAGTAAAATATTCAAATCTACTGTACTCTGTTTGGCTAGAAGTTTGAATGAATTCATGCAGCCCTCTAATTCGTATTGTCGCATTTAATTGTTGTTATTCCTTACAAAGCTATTATAACTTCATTCGTGTAAGGTTGTTGTGACAGCATAAAGGACTCGACATATACTTAGGGGCTATTCAAGTATTACGTAATGGGGGGGTGAAATAATACAAACGGCAATAACGCAAATTTGTGTTATTTCCCAATTGAATGTGAAATAACACAAATTTGCTTTATTTGATTTCTCGTTGAGCAATAAGACCAACTTTTAAACTTAACAATTGAGTAATAAAGCAAAATAGTGCACATATGTGAGTAGTCACCCAGATATATTTGACAAAATGTAGTACATGAACAAGTTAAATGGACGGATTTGTAAGCATACAATTTTGAAAATGCCCAGCGTCGCGGCGGTTCGTGTTCGCGCGCGGCCCTGCGTTGTTGTTGTTGTTGTAGCGGCACTACTAAGCCCCGCCATTTTCGGGTCTACTTTCAATCATTGTCGTCGAGCTCAACTAACGGGAGGCCCAGGAAACGAGCTGTTTCGATGGTTTCGGACCAGAGGGAGAGGGGTGTTAGTTGAGTCGGATTGAGCTGGCATGTAAAGAGGTGGTTGGTGTCGTGGGGGGACTCTCCACATGCCGGGCACTCATTGGGGATATTGGGGTCGAGTCTGGACAGGTAGCTGTTAAGGCGGCTACAGTATCCAGACCGTAATTGAGCCAGGGTAACGCGGGTCCCTCGTGGCAGTTGAAGCTCCGTCTCTTCCACAGGTGGTGATTGGCTCGTATTACGGCATTCATAGGTCGAGAGTCGAGGTAGGTGGTAACTGACTCGCTATGAATGTCGTTTATGGCTCGTCTGTATATCGTCGGGTCCAATGGTTGGTCTATGTACTGTTGGACTGCGTCCTGGTACACGAATAGGTGCCCCCTGACGTGCCTGGGCGGAGGCTCCTCCTGAAGCAACAGTCTGTTAGGGTGTTCACTTCTGTGACACCCCACCAGAAATTGCTTACATAGCATTTTGTTGTGTTCCCTGACGGGGAGCACTTGGGCCTCGCTGTGCAGGTGGTGCTCAGGCGTTATCAGAAGGCACCCAGTCGCTGTCCGGAGTGCGGCGTTCTGACAAGTCTGTAGCTTCGTCCACTGCGTCCAACTAGTCCCCGGCGTCCAAACTGGCGCAGCATAGTTTAGAACCGTCCGGCCAATTGCCTTGTATGTTGCCAGCAACGTTTCTTTGTCTTTGCCCCAAGTGCTGCCGACGAGCGACTTGAGGACCTTGTTGCGGCTCTGTACTTTATTGACAATTGCGGTTGTGTGCGTGGAGAAGGAGAGCAGGCTATCGAAGGTGACACCTAAGATTTTTGGGTTGTTTACAGTCGGTATTGGTGTGCCGTCGACGTGTATACCCAACTCTAGCCTGACCTCCTTCGTCCAGGTGGTGAAGAGGGTCGCCGTTGATTTCGTTGGGGAGAGTGTTAGGCTCCTTGCAGTGAAGAAGCGAGAAAGGCTGGAGAGATAGTCGTTCACTTTTGAGCAGAGGTCATCAATTCCATTCCCGGACGCCAAAATCGAGCAATCGTCAGCGTATGAGATCAGGGAAACTCCCTCAGGTGGTTGAGGAAGTTTCGAGATGTAGAAGTTAAATAGTAAGGGGGAGAGAACACCACCTTGTGGAACCCCTTGTTTAATCCTTCTTGGTTTCGAGGTTTGATCTCGGAAGATTACTGACGACTGTCGACCACTCATATAATTCGCCGACCATCGCTTCAGTCCCTGTGGGAGTGAGGAGGCCTCGATGTCTTCTAGTAGCGTGGAATGACAGACGGTGTCAAACGCCTTTGACAAGTCCAGCGGTACTAGGACCGTTCTCTCACAGGGGCGGTTTCGATTTAGGCCACGAGTTATTTGTGTGTTTATGGCGTTAAGTGCTGTTGTTGTGCTGTGCACTTTACGGAATCCGTGCTGGTGCTTAGCTGGGGTCAGGTGGCAAGTGAAGTATGGGAGTAGTAGGGCCTCAAGCGTCTTCGCGACCGGGGAAAGGAGCGTTATCGGGCGATAAGAGTCTCCTTTGTTGGCGGGCTTTCCCGGTTTCAGCAGTGGGACCACTCTCTCTGATTTCCACACATCAGGAATGATGAGAGTGGCTATGGACAGGTTGAGGACCTCCGTAAGGTAAGCTACTCCCTTAGGCCCTAAATGTTTTAGCATCAGCATGCAGATTCCGTCGGGTCCAATGGCTTTGGAGGCTTTCGCCTTCCCGATGGCCCCCTTCACTTCACAGCTGGTGAAAACAAGTGGTGCACTGTTTTTTGGCAGCTTGTGCAGCCTCCTGGTCACTCGACGTTTGGCCTTGTCTACCGAAGGGTGCAGTGTGAATTGCCTACTAAAGTAGGCTGCGCATTTCTTCGGGTCCGACGAAGCGCGACCTTCGAAAGAGATTTCCACTCTGTCATCACGCTTCGTTGGGTTGGACAGGGACCTCACGGTTGACCAGAGCTTACTCACACCAGATGTGAAGTTACAGGCCTTCAAGTGCTCCTCCCACTTTTTCCGCTTATGCTGATTTACCAGTTTCCGAATCTCCAAATTAAGGTCTCTCAGACGGGGGTCCCCGGGGTCGACCTGGCGTAGGTGGTCACGCTCGTTTGCTAGTACAGCTGCTTCGGCCGGGAAATTTGGGCGGACTTCCGCGATGCGTCCGGACGGGATGAAGCGAGCCGCTGCGGCAGTGACTACCCTGCGGAACTGGCTTTCGCCAGTGTGTATGTTTGTGGGTGTGGGAAGGGCGGCGAAGCTGCTCTCGGTGACTTCCGCGAAGCCGTCCCAATCAGCTTCGTTGAAGTTGGTATAGGTTCGGTGGTCCGCGGGAGCAAAGTCGGTGGGCTTATTGATCGAGACGACTATGGGTAGATGGTCTGATGCTAGTGTTAGCATCGGTCGCCATGAGATGCTATTGATCAAACCAGCGCTAGCAATTGTTAGGTCTGGCGAGCTGCTGCAGCTACCCATAATCCTGGTGGGGGCGTCGTCGTTCATGGTGCAGAATGTCGAATCGTCTATCTGCTCAGCCAAAAGGTTTCCGC